GCACCCCCCCCCCCCGCCCGGCTTCCCTGCTCCATCTCTGACTCCCTCTCAGCCAAGACTTCCTTCGGAAGGAACCCCAAAGGGAAGCCTAGAAAATAAAAGGCGCAGAGGTGGCCGGACGATCCTTACCAGGCCGCAGCAGCGTGATGGCGCAGCCGCCTCCCCCAGCGCCCGTCAGCTTGCTGTGCAGGCCAAGGGCGGCGGTGGCCTGGCAGACACGATCCAGCGCGGGGTGCCCCACCCCGATCACGTCCAGGTGGTGCTGGTTGATGTCGACCAGTTCCTTGGGGGGGGAGACGAGAGCAGGTGAGGCCCTTCACCCGGACGGAGGCGGCGCCGAGGCTGTGAGCCGGAGAGGGCAGGTGGAGGGGACCCCGGGGGAATCTCCAGCTACCCCAGAAGGACTGGGGCATCAGGATCCGAGGAGAAATGTGGCCTTGTCTGGGGGGAACTTCCTTGCCCAGGCTGGTCCTCTCTCTCCGATCTTTCCGGGGAGGGCCAGGCCCTTTGGGACCCTCGACCTCCAGGGCGGCAGGAGGGGCTTTCACGGAGCAGATGCTGGTATTTTTCTTTCTTTCTTTCTTTCTTTCTTTCTTTCTTTCTTTCTTTCTTTCTTTCTTTCTTTGGAAGTGGGTTTTTAAAAACTGTACGTGAAAGCCCATGCACATGGCACCTCTGAAGGGTCCAGAACCGCTTCCCAAGAACAGGTTCGAGTGGAGTCCAGGTTTCTGGAATTCCCACATCCATTTCGTATTTAAAAAGCAAGGTCCTAGTCCTCAGGGCAATGGTTAAGCCAGAGACCGAGGCCGTCTTACCTCCAGAACAGAGTAGTGTCCCTGTGAGGAACCGTCAGCCATGGCTTCGAGGACGCCTTCACACTCCCGAGAAATGGCGTCGATGGAAATCAGGACGGGCTCCATGATGGCAGGGAACTGCAGTGGGGGTGGAAAAGGACAGGGCAGGGTGGGGGATGAGGACAGCAGAGAGACCGCGCCGGATCTGTCCCGCTAGGGAGCAAATTCAGACCATCTCAGCAAAAAAGTGCATTTCAAAGAATTAGCTTCTTTCCTTTGGCATTAAGACATCTCCAGCGCCCGCCTGCTGTTTTCTCTACACGCCCATGAATACAAACATTACAGCCATTTATAAATACAATAAAATCCACATCCTGGACAGCAGCAATTAATGGAAAAGCCATTGTTCATTAAGCGTTATGATTTATTGAAGTAATTTTTAACCATCCTCACGTGCTGCTGGAGAGGGGAGGAGTGGCCAAGGAGGAGAGGAACCCCGCTAATAACTTAAATACGACACCCGTGAAACACAATTAAAACCATAAAACACTGTTGTGATAAAGACAAGCTTCCCTACCTTCAGAAGCTTCTCTCTGACCCCAGCGACGAGGGCCTTGGTGCTTCGGGGCACTTTGGTGTTGGTCAGCAAAATTCTCAGCGTGGGGACCCTTCCAGGGAGAAAAGAAAAAAAATCATTGTTCGCTTTCTCTCTAGCATCATCTTCCACCCTCCACCCCTTCCATCCTCCACCCCTTGGAGGTGCTAAGTCTTTGGGGGACTACAACTCCCAGAATCCACAGCCAAGGGGTGTGGTCATCCAGAAAAACAATGTCCCTGTTGCTTCCCTTGTGATGTACTGTCGAGTCGCACCTGGTTTCGGGTGACCCGACCGAACCCACAGCCTCTGAAAGATCCTGTCGGGAACCGTCACGAGGGCTCTGGACCACCCGAGATGGTCGCTTCCATGACGGAGTGCATCGGTCTCAGGTTCGGCCTTCCCCTTTTCTCCTGACCGGGGCGAGGCTGATGCCAGTGTGAGGACTGGCATGGCTCTCCAAACCCTTGGGGTTCACCCCCTCCGCCAGAGTCTAAAGGATCTTACCCTCTCCAAAAGAGATGGCAAACCCACCTCCCACACTAACGTTAAAGGCCCTGAACGTCTCCCTCTGTCCTTTCCACCCCCGCACAGTTTTATAGACAGCTCATTGTACCTTTTCAGTGGCGTGATTTTTCCTGACTGGTATCTCAAGGCTCCACCTAGAAATTGAGAGAGGGGGGTGTTAAAAAGAGAAGGGGGGAAATGGCAATGAAAACAACTTTCATAGAGGCTCTGTTTCTCCTGAGTGAGTAAAAATAACTCAGTTTTTTACGAGATATCAGGAGAAGGCGGCCTGAATCAGCTTCTTCATTCTAGACCCACCAAGGGGAGGCGATCGGATGCACATCAAAGGCGAAATCATTTTGCAGGAGGTTCCGAGGGGCAACACCCCACAGCGGTCGCCCTGTGCTTCCCCACCCAAGAGTCACGTGTCAATGCAAGGGGACGCCTACCCCAGGTGCCTACGGCGTTATCCACGCCAGACGGATTCCCGTGGATCACCTGCTCTCCCTGGAAGGCCCACTTGTTGATCACGTCCAGCTCCTCCTCCGTCCACCTGGAAGATGGGGATAATGGGAAACGCCCGCTCAGAGAGGAAAAGCGGCCGTCACCCCCAACCCTCGGCTCTGCGCCAGGATTCTGCAGCCTAAGAAATGCATCCATCGTTATCTCAGAGGGAGGAAAGGCCCCTCCCCTGTCCGTGGTTCCCTCTTCCTACGACCCAGAGGTGCCGTTCTGCACAGCACACGGCAGGGTGGGGAGCGTAGGCTCTGCAGGCCAGGATGAGCCCCCCAGTGGCCCAAACGAGCCCCCGTTCACCTCCCTGGACCCCCCCCCCCACACACATTTCTTTTGAAACTTATAAAAAATCAGAAGTTGTGGAAGCTGGCAACAATTTTGTTATGCTTTTCGTGGAAGCCTCACACAGCTCCATTTTAAAAAAATTACGTTTTGATGCTAGGCAGCAAGAAGAAGCTTTTCACTAAAAGTCCTTTAAAAAAAAGAGAGAGAGAGAGAGACAGAAGGTGGCAACAATTTTGTTGTGCTTTTCATGGGGGCCTCACGCAGCTCCATTTAAAAAAAAAATAAAGCTTTGATACTAGGCAGCAAAAGGAAGCTTTTCACTAAAAGTTCTTTTTTAAAAAAATAAAGAGACTTGGAGCATGGAGCCTAGGAGCAGGGAGAAAGCCTCACCCGAAGACCCAGGGTGAGTGGGGAAGACCCACAGGACCTCTGCCCACCTTGGGGCCGTGCCTCTCCCTCCCCAACCCCTCGACTCTTGGGGGGCGCTTACCTTGCCAGGGACTGGCCTTCCCCCAGAGGGTAGCCGACGACGTCACAACGTGATAGCAAGGCGGCCGCCAGGCACACCGAGTAAGCGGCGCTGGAACCCAAGCCAGCCCCCGTGGGCAGCTCCGACCACACCAGGAGCTCCACGCTCGGCAGCACTCTGAAAAGAGACCACGTGTCACAGAGCCACCAAGGCAGGGAGGGGGGCCACCACGTCCCTGGGGCTTCTGATTCCACCGTGGAGGAGTGGGGGACTTCCCAGCGCTTAAACTTTCCAAGGGGGGGGCTCCATTTCATACCGCCCAGAGTAGACCTTTGGTCTAGATGGGCGGAGTATAAATCTAATAAAATAAAATAAATAAATAAATTTGTTTTTTAAAAGGATAGCCTGATGGAGAGAAGAAACGGCTGTGCCGTTTAATAAATATACAGATGGTATCTATGAAGCTAAATCTATTTCAGGCGGACACGGCCAACTGCGCCCCTCCATGTGTTCTTGGACTACAACACCCATCATCCCAAATCACCAGTGATCCTAAATTACAGGAGGAGCCTCCTCGGCAAGGCTCTGGTGTCCCGTCACCCGTTTAGGGCTACGGAATGTATCCCAGAAATTTTTCTAACTTAACTCTTCTCCCCCCCCTACAAACCCCACCTCGCTGTTCTAGTACCAAGTGGCATCACAAAGCACATCGTTCATTGATTCTGTAGATCCTCATCCTCCAGGGAAAACCAGCAAACCCTGGCAGACAGGGCAGGAGGCACGTATTCTTACCCGCTTTTGGCCGCGATGGATAAGTACAAATACAGAAAGGCGACGGTGGCGACATCGTGGATTTCTCCCGGTCCGTCCGCCGTGCCTGCAAACTCCTTCAGCCTTGCCAGCTGTTCCGGGGTAGGGGGCTTCAATTCGGTCCGGTCTGCTGATGAAACAGCAAAGGCCGAGAAGACCCCTTCATTCCCCAGCTCCTAAGACACACCACACACCCCTTCTTGCTTTTCTCTAAACCTTTCTAATGACCCAAAGCAGAGCAATTTTATTCAATGAAATCTTTGCTGTCTAGGCACCAGTTTCCACTTTTTCCTGGCCCAGAATGTTACTGGCTCAATCCTGAGTAGACCGTGGGAAAGCCACGAGCTCAAACCACCCCCATCCCCCCCCATTAACTACACCTCTCCAGCACAGGACTGATCCCTCCGTTCCCCCCCACACACCCCAGCTGTAGCTCCCCATGGATCCGAGCAAACCACAGAAGGGCGAGGGAATCCAGAAATGGCCTGGGCTCACCGGGAAAGGCGTCGAGCAGCGGCTGGAGCTGCACCAGGTCCCACCACAACTTGACTCCGATATTCGGCAGCTGCAGGAAGATCTTCCCGTCGTCCCGAGGGCTCATCCGGAGGAAGGTTCTCAAGTTCAGCGCCACCGCCAGAGCGGCCTGTGTTCCAGAAATATGAACCATGTTACAACAGGAGCAATTTAAAGATCAAGTAAAACTCGCACGTCGAGTAAACCCGGTTAGTTTTTAAGATGCCAGAGGGCTCCTGTGTGTCTTTTACTTTTCCGTTTTGATGAAGCACCTCGCGGACGACAGGGACGCACAACTACAAGTGAAATAATAAGTGGATCATCCATGAAACATATATATATCTGGCACGACCTACGATTCTGGTCTTCTGATTTTTTTGGGGGGGGGTGTATTTCTCTAAAACTCCTCTAAGAAAGAGGCTGCGCTAGCTGGGCGAATGATGGGTGTTTTAGTCCATGAAAGTAACTTTTCCAACCTCAGACAGCAACCAAAAAACTTACCTTGCCGTGGACCACAGCATGTTCACCGTGAAGTATAACTTTCCCCGGAGCCGAAACCACCAGAGTTTTGTTCAACATTTCTCCCTGGATGTCCCCTATGAAAAAAAAAGAAGAAGAAAAATCCATATGCATACGAAAGGTTCAAGCAACCAGAACTGCCCAGCTATTCTGTTGCATTGTTTAAAACCTCCTTTCCCTACAATTAGTTAGCTTAAGTACAAATGTGTCTTGTAAAATTAGAGCTTCCTTCATAGAAGAAGCTGCAGGGGAAGCGAGCGATGGATTCTGAGCTAGAGGTGTTGGCGAGGGACGAAACTACGAATTTTCCCACCCACATGCACCTCCTCCCCAGCTGCCTTCAACAGCATGTTGTGTCACCCTCTTGTTTTAACCGGATTTCTTAAGCCGAAACTGCTCCCCGCAGCTCCTCCTGCCTGCCGCTGAAGTTGCCGAACCTCTCCCTCGCTCAGGACACCTGCCAGAAACACCCCCTTTCTCTGTGCAGCAACACCCAGCAGTCCAAACAGTGACATTTTTTTCCTCCAGGGGAATTTTTGGACACCAAACCCATCAGTTGACGGGGGGGGGCTTGAGAGAGAGAGAGAGAGAGAGAGAGATAAAAAGTCAGAAAAACACTCCTATGGCTTGAGAATCTGATCTGCAGGATCCAAACTAGATAGAAAAACGCTTGAGAATCTGATCTGCAGGATCCAAACAGCCTGGCCCATTGAGATACGAATCAAATGCCAGCTGTTCCATACCACAGCTATCCAGAGCCTCCAAAGTGAAGGGCAGTCTAGCTTTATATCCTAACCACTGGTGACCATAAGCTTGGGGGGAAGGGGGAACCCAAAATGTATTGACTGAGAACTCTGCTAAGCTAAACGCTTGAGAATCTGATCTGCAGGATCCAAACAGCCTGGCCCATTGAGATACGAATCAAATGCCAGCTGTTCCATACCACAGCTATCCAGAGCCTCCAAAGTGAAGGGCAGTCTAGCTTTATATCCTAACCACTGGTGACCATAAGCTTGGGGGGAAGGGGGAACCCAAAATGTATTGACTGAGAACTCTGCTAAGCTGTGTGGGAGGCCTGTGTGAGGGGGGGGGTCCCACGCCCTTCTGGGGGCTTCCTGGGGGCACCTGCTTGCCCGGGTCTGGGAAGGGGGGGCGAGACGCCAACCCACCTGAACCCCCCCCTTTGTGCTTAACCACAGGAGATGGAGCAGAGCCTCCTGGGCCAGGGGCACTCTCTCTTCCCCCCCCCTTGGGAGCAAAGCACAGCAGGAAGCC